ACAGAAAAAATGTAAGGTCAATTCCAACAATCATTTAGTATTGAAACTATACCAAATTTGGTAGTGTCAAAAAAGTTTTTTTTTTATTTTCAACCACAACATCAAATTTCACACTAAAAACAATATTTGTTATTATTTTATTACCAACTTTTAAATTCTTTCTAATATTTTGTAACAGTTTAATAAATATTAATTATTATTGGAGCTGACTAACTATAAATTGAATATAATATAATGTTTTAAGTATTTTAAATCTTAACTAATTTTCGTTTAAATTTATATATTTTATTCAAATTAAAATTTCATATTAATTATAATTACGATTTTGTATTATTAAACATGAAAATCAAAAAACATGATAAATATAAAATTATTGATGATATATTTATTTTTAGTTGATAAACAATAATTTAACTATATTACAAAACAAAAAATACAAATAAAATAACAGTGTAACATCAAATATAGTGTGAATTATTCATAAAACACACATATTTGGTGTAAAATTTGTCTTTCCATTGGGGATAAAACTACATCAAATTTGGTGTTATAGGATGCCGTTGGAGTTGCTCTAAAAGACATAATGAGACATATATTACTATGATAAGTGACATTATAGCATGTCTAACCCATCTCTATTTTTTACTCTAAAATAAAGTTTTTTTTAACTCTAAAATAAAGTTTATTGTCAAATCTCTCTAACTCATCCATATTTGGAACTTAAAATAGAGATGGGTTAATGTCATTGTGCCCATTCATTAAACTCCTTGATCCTGCAAGGAAACATGATAATTGTGAGAGTTTTTTCCTTCTTCTTCCAATCTTTGAATAGTTTCCTAAGGAAGATAAATGACATGGTGATGAGAGGAAAAGTGTTGTTGCAGTTGGTGAAAAGAGTCTCCAGATGTCATCGCAGCCTGCGCTGAAATTTTTAGCGATAACAATTTTGTTCACAAACGGCTGTGAGCAATTTTGTTCATCATTAGTTTAACTTACCTCTCATTAACTTAACTCTGCCCTTTTATCTCACTGAACATGCGGCTGTGCCGGCGTCGAAATCATCATCCCAAATTATTCGAATGTTAAATGAAATTATGAAGCACATTGTAACAAACACTAATCTTTTTAATATTTCTAGACCATAACTCAATAATTCTTTCATGACCCTTCATACTTTCTTCTTTTAATAACAAAGTGGAAGATACATGTCATGTAACATCCTAGTCTGAGACGGCACCGTAAGGACTTCACCTCCACCTATCACGCATCCAGTGGATGCATACGGTACATTACAAAACTTTTACTAAACTAGTCTGCCATTTTAGCATCTTACAAATCTGTTAACCCGATTTGTTAACTTAAATTTCGTTCCAATTAAATAGATATCGCGATCATCTTTATCTTAACTAATTGGTTATTCAAGTCCATACTAGACCAAATATCAATAGAGTCGGAAAACTTTCAAAACAAATATGCAATTGTTATTAACTTGAAACTCGAGATAGACGCATAATTACAAAAACAAATTCTTTGTTTTTTGTTGTTGCAAACGAGGTACTAAAATATGGTGTAACTATAAGAGAAATTGAGCTTAATAACACAAAAAACAAAACATATATAATTAAAGCCTAACAATTTACTCTACTTCTAGTGGATTTCATTACATAGAATAATTTTAGTTAGTTGATTACTTAT